CGGCTCGACGCAGGCGACTGGCAGACGACCTTGTGCTCTCGACTGTGCGGCCAGTGAGGCTTTGGCGGTCCTTGATTCAGGGGATTCGCAATAACGCAGTTGCTGCGAGCCCGGCTGCTTTCAAGCGCGCGGCTGAGAAGGCTGAGCGGCCAGAGCTTCGGCGCAAGAAGCCGCCTTTGAGGGAGCCTGAGGTTAAGGGTGCGGCTGCCAAGTCAAAGCCACAGAAGGAGAGCAAGGCTGAAGAGTCATCCTACGAGGAGTTTGAGGTTGAGGAGTCAGAGTCAGAGCACGGGCCATCGTCGCAGGCCTCCAGAGCCTGAAGGTCCCCCGCCAGGAGTGGGAAAGAAGACGTTCAAAGCCTTGCCATCGAGCAGGGCACAAATATCAACGCCTTGGACGTTTGGAAGGTCAACCGCACACCAAGGTGCACAGGAAGATCTGGGTACCCTTTCCGGAGGCCGTGGTCGTGAGAGCATCAGCCGGCTACCATGAGTCGACGGGTCCGGGGTCTCAAAGTGCTGCCTGAGGGATCAGCCTTCAGCGGCGGAGTCTTGCTGGCCGCGCGACGACACGGCTGACAGGTGGTCAAGGCGCAGGATCCCAATGCTTTCTGGCAAAGTCACAATGGAAAAGGAGGCTGCGAGAACAAGAGCCAGTAGAATCAGCAGGACGACGAAGCAGAAGGGAGTTGGTGGAACTGAAGGGGCCAAGGCAAGAAAGGATCGAGAGCAAGAAGGACAAGGACAAGGAGACCGCCGATGGAACAAACAAGACCGCAGAGAAGTGATGGTTGATGATGGTTATGGAGGGCTGGGTGATTCCGTGCACCATGTTTCAACAGCTTCAGAATTCCCGGGCCCCGGGGTTGTAGCGCCGCTTGGATTACAGTTCATGTGGAGGCTTCGGAGCTTGCATCATTCGCTGACGCAGTCAGGCGAGAAGTTTTGCAGAGTGCAGGAGGGCGATCTTTCCAGTGCCTTGGGAGACTGCAGGAGTTCAAACGAGCAGTGCGCAATGCTTCAATGCCCCGGCTGAATGCTGGCAGCACGATGCCTGGACGTTCTGTGGCCTGATGGGCTTGAACGGTCTTAATCCTGTCAGCCTATTGAAAAACACGCCCCCCCCATAAGGAAACCTCGGTTGCATTCTTAAATAGGGGGTCCCTGAAATCGGGGGGGTCACAAATAGGGTCACCGGGGAAGAGCTTCTAAACCAAAAAGTCATCCCGGAAAATTTTACATTAAATCCTTTATTAAACTCGTATCAAAAAATTCAAAACACCAGGTCGAAGGGTCTTCCTTTTCCCCTACAAAAAACTGTTTTAGAATCGTGGTTCTTCATTAGACTAACAACAAAAGCTTTCGAAAGGTGATGTCGCTGTGCCATGCGGTTTTGCGTGATGTCGGTGGCAAGTACGTTTGCGTGGGTCCGTGCCATTGGGGGAAGGAAAAGCTGCTGGTGTAAACGCGGCGTGTCATGGTGGATAGACAGGGCGGACAGAGGTGGGCAGTTACGGTTGTTTTTGGAGACTAGTCAAAAAAAACTCATCTAAAATCGGCAATGTTGGTAGCTTAGTAGCGGTTTGAAAGGGCGGGAAGTTCAAAACAAACATAGACCGTATTTAGGGGATCCAACATGACTTTTATTGAATTGGGGTCCGTCTTTTAAACGGCACCCGGGATTAGTAGTAGGCTGCAGCCAGCGGCCCGTGTGAACAGCCTGTGGCGCGCTTCCTTATAGTTTGGGAGGATGCCATGAGGGATACTCGGAGACGTTTCACCGTGAGCTAAAATCCGCTCGAGTGTCTTACACGGGGGCGGGCTTTGCGCTAACCAAGGCTGCAGGTCGTTCCAGCGCCTCCTCCTGCTGATCACGGGGGTTCAGTAGTTATTGAGCTTGGTTTCTGGCACTGAAGACCTCTCTTTTCTGACCAACAAAGATGTAGGTCAAGGGTTGTTCCAAAGACAAGTTTTTCCCCCGAGCACCCATTGAAGAGGTCTTCGCCTATGGCAGCCAGCTGGTGCTTTCTGGATTATTTTTCGCTGAGAAACCTTTGTGCTTGAAAGATGTGGTAAGGTTTTGGACCCTGATTATGAATTTAGCGCCGATCAACATGGTGATGTCCTTGATCTGTGGAGCGGTTAGGTTAGGCATTTACCTGCCATCTCCGCATGGCTGGGGCCCCGAGCGCCTGGGCTTCGACTGAGGGTAACCGCAAAGGTAAGGTGCTGCCACGAGCGACATCCTCAACCCAAGGGCATTCCCGTGTCAGGGAGTCGAGGCAGACAGGTGGCACTGTTTTGAGGTGTAACTGGGGGCACCAGGACCATATAAGTGCTCTTGAATCCCGCTCCATCATCATGGCTTTGAAGTTTCAGCTCATGTGTATTTCACCTCACTGACAGTTATGTCTGTATGTCGGTCATCGACAAAGGACGAATGGGGTCTAAGAAACTGGGTTCTATTCTTCAACAGCTGAACGCCATGCTTTTGGGGTTCAATCAGTGCTTGGTTATCAGACACGTTGAGTCGACCCAGAACCCGCCGGACTATGCCTCGCGAGCGTGATGGGCGAATTTGGCCGCCGGTCAACGGCCGAGTGTGCTCGAGAGCGGCAAGGTATAGCGCTTAGAGACAGACTGGTCACTTCTCAAAAAGCTCTGGATGAGGCAGTTAGCGAGTTGGTGGAGCACTGCTGGGAAGGAGGTCAGCCGCTCTATCGCGTCTCGGCAGCCTTGCGCGGACTGTACCGTTGCAACATCCTCGTGCTGGAGTGCTTGCTGTCCACCTTGAATGGGCAGCAATGCTTGCAGCATCATTTCGCTAACGATTTAAGGCGCGCTGAGGCGCACTGCTTCCGTCCTTAAAACGCGCGCCGGGGGGGCCACCAAGTGGTTTCAAGACACGCTATAATACAGCTCTTGAAAGGTCGCTGACATTCCATCCAAGTGGCGAAACTGGTGCTCTTGTCACGATCTGGCGTCAGCAAGGTGGCAAAGCCAGATGGGTCGGACCTCTTCCAGTCCTTTTACAAGAAGGCAGCACCGTGTGGTTGGCAACTGGATCGGCCATCGTGAAGGCCAAAGTGAATCAAGTCCGTCATGTGACAAGACGGGAGGAGTTGCACACCTCTTTAGAGGGGACGGTGGCCAAATGGTGCCCTCTCTAAAGATCAGGCCTTGTTATCTTTTATCTCCTGATTCGTCCTAAAGGACAAGAGCAGGGGTCGTGGAAGAGAATGCAATGCCTCTAGGCATGTTGCGTTCACGACTTGGACTCCTTCCGGGGAGATTCTTTTCGGAGCGCTCGTGCTTGCTTCTGCCAGGAAGCTGTTTACGCAAAGAGAGATGCTCTAAGTGAGTCAAATGACAGCCAGAGGCATGCAGCAAAAACAAAAGGTGTGCTGAACCATATATTTGACCGATGATGTCAATCCGCATGGAGGACAGCTGACCGAACTTGCAAATCTTGAAGGTCAGCTAGAACATGTCGATCGATCGATCGATCTATCTAACTGTCTGCCGACCGATCTATCTATCTATCCATCTATCTATCTATCTTTCTATCTACCTATCTATCTATCTATCTATCCATCTATCTATCTATCTATCTATCTTTCATATTTATCATATCTATCATATCTATCTTATCTATCATATCTATCTGATCTATTTTATCTATCTATCTATCTATTTTATCTATCTATCTATTTATCTATCTAACTATCTATCTATCTATCCATCCATCCACCTTCCATCAATCCATCCATCCACCCATCCATCCATCCATCTGTCTATCTTTCCTATCTATCATATCTGTCATATCTATCTATCTATCTTTCTTTCTTTCTTGCTTTCTTTCTATCTGTTCTTACCAGAAACAGGCCCAGAAACAGAAAACGCAAACATATAGCGGTACAACTCGCAACTTGGGGAGGGGGGGGCCCTCATGAGCATGCCACGAAAAAAGTGCATGTTGGAACATCATTCCCCAAACAGTTTACGGTTGGGGGTCTATCTTAGAAAAAAAGAGCTGGCCACACTCACTGGCCGCGCCCCTGAACTCTGTGGCTGGGCTCTGTGTCCAGGCCTTGTCTGTCCTCCTCTTGTCCTCTGTGGCTGGGCTCTGTGTCCAGGCCTTGTCCTCCTCTTGTCCTCTGTGGCTGGGCTCTCTTGCTGGGCCTTGTCCTCTTCTTGTTCTTATCTTGGCCGCGCCCCTGAACTCCCCGGCTCTGTGTCCGGGTCTTGTCCTCCTCTTGTCCTTGTTTTGGCCGCGCCCCTGAACTCTGTGGCTGGTCTTTGGGGCCCGGTTTTCTGGAGAGGAGTGTGGCCGAACAAATAGCGATGTCAATGCCGACAAAAATTCATTGATGAAGCAGTTTGGCAGGGCGTACCAAGAAATCCATTTTTGACTACCATTGGTCTAAACGAATCGTTTTGAAACTGTTTGGGGGCTATGCTTGTATAATGCTTTGTTGCAAAACTTTGCGGGCGCGCTTGTACGCAAGAGCCAAGAACACCGGTATTTGCGAGGTTTTCTAACCCCCTGCCAGGGCCAGCCCCCTGCTGGCCCGATATTTGAGGGGCTTGAGCCCAACAGCAGCGGACCAGCAAGGGGTTTCAGTGGTTGTGGTTGTTGTGGTTGTTGGTTGTTGGTTGTTGTTGGTTGTTGTTGTTGTTGGTGGTGGTGGTGGTGGTGTTGTTGTCGTCGTTGTTGTGGTGGTGGTTGTGGTTTTATAAAGCCAGCCTCCGGAAGGGCAGTGGGGATGAAACCATCGACCACGCCAAACCCCACTCATCCTACACACATATCCATACATGATTGAGTGGGGTCGGCGGATTATATGAGTGGAATGAATGAAAGACACGACCAGTGTGTCAAAGGTAGTGTTCATCTCATTGCATTTTTGCGTACAGCAGGTCCAACAGATGTGAAAAACTACAATATAGTGTAGTGATGTGTAGTGACTGTAGTGCAAATAATGATTTCCCGTGGTTCAGGCATTTACCAGGCCAAAGTCATGGCAGAGACCGGGAAGTCATTTGTTGTCTTCGACCGGTACCACAAGATTGGCGGGGTTTGGGAATTCTATGGGAATGATTCCTCTCGAGTGAACACGTCTGAGATGCTTGCATTCTGATTACTCTTCAGCTTCGCGTGCCTGGCCATGTTGAATCATGTTTTGGCAACGCTAACCAAGGATTGGATATAGAATCTTGGAGAAGAAAGGTCAATGGGCAAGGCCAAATGAAGATCATACCCCACGCCGGGACATCATGCGAGACATCTACGAGATAGCAAGTGGTTACCTTACAGTCATCAATTCCTTCTTTTTTCCTCACATGTGTTGCCGCCAGCTCACCCTCGGTGATTAGTGTTTAGTGTGTGACATCTCAAGTCTCAAGATGAAATGCCTGGCTGAGGCACGTTTGCTTACGATAAGATTCGTTGCCAGACGAACGTGCAGAAGGCATGAAGGGCATGTTCAACTTCAGTGGAATGCATGTACAATGCATCTCCGTACTTGCTAAATTTTGTGGACAATGCATTTACAACACTGCGTCATTGACAATACCGCGAGTGGCCAGCTGACAGGTGGAGAAGCAAGTGGATGGGACGTATTTAGTAGAGGTGTCCTGCAGCTGGCGGTTGGGTGATTGATCCCGTGACTGCAGACTTCTGCTTCAGGTGCAGACACTTGCGGACTCAAAGAAGCATGTGGTGAAAACGAAAGCAGCATCTTGCCTAGATACCTTCATAGTTCTGCGTGGTCGGGCCGGACCCTCCGCTTCAAGCAGTGGAGTGTGCGGCCCGAATTTCCCATTTGTGTCAAAGAGGTTTGGTGGCTTGTTCCCAAAAGAGCGACAAGAGAGGAAAAACAGGAAGGTGAGGCACCCTTTCATAAGGCGCCTTTCGAGAGGGCCTTGCTCCATTTCTCAGGTAAGCTTCCAAGTGAACCGCCGCATTGGGAAGGGTCGCAAAGTTGACTGGCAGGACGCTTGAGCAAGCGCAGTGATTCGTGTGAAGTGGCACTGGTACTAAAAGGGCGGTGATCCTGAGAGGACTCCGAGAAATTCAAAGGGACAATTTGCTATGGTGGCTTTCTGCACTTCAGTTTGCTGTGTGTACTGATGATCGTATGGTGACCCAGGCTATGGCAATGAGCCATGCCAGCTCGACTTTTGGAACAAGCGTGTCCTTGTTGTTGGACTGGTTTGTCGAGGGTTTTTTCATACCCAATCTCAATCCTATGAAATTTGTCATTTCATCACATCATTATACAACCTCCTTTTTTCCTTTCTCATAGTGAGAGTGAATTGGCACGGTCCAAGTTCCTTAACCTCATTCATTCCGACCTTAAAAAACGAAAGACCAGACAGGAGGTACATGGAGACAATGCAACCACCAGTCCAAGACCTGCCATGAACGCAAAACGCATTTTGACCCTGCCCATTTGGAATCTTAGCCAAGAAAAGCTGACTGGACATCCTGTGTGCTTTTCTGAGTGGCAATGCTAAAGCTGAAGAAGACTGTGGAGGGAGTTGACTCCTGAACGCATCAGTTTTCCTCGCCATAGAGATGCTATCAGGCATAGGGATCAAAAAATACCCAATACTTACCAAATCCAAAACGTAATTACCCACTCCCCTGGTTCGTTGGTCCCCTAGTTCGTTGGTCCCCTGGTCCTTTGGTCCCTTGGTCCTTTGGTCCGCTGGTCCACTCTGGTCCCTTGGTCTTGTCCTTTGGTCACCTGGTTCCTGGTAAGCGTCACCCGTGACTGCCTGGAGGGAGGCGAGGAGGCGACGGCGATGTCTGGGGGGAGTGTTTTGAATTGCGAATCAGATTTAGAGAAGGGAGGTGCACTTCCAATTTTGCATACCTTGTAAAAGCCTCCCGAGTGTACAATTTAAAGGTGGGAGGTGCTATTCCAGTTGCATGCCTGTTATGAGCAGTGCCGACAGTAGAATTTAGAGGAGGCAAAGGCATTCCAAGGTAACATACCTTTTGTGAGCCACCCGAGGGCAAAATTTAGACTAGCATACCTTTTGCGAGCAACCTATTCCAATGTAGCATACCGTGAAAGGGGCCCTTGTCATGTAGCATACTTTTTGTGAGCTTTTGTGAGCCCCCTGAGGGTAAAACTTCAACTAGGAAGGTGCCATTCCAAGGTAACTTGGAGGAGCAAAAGGCCAGTAGTTTTGTTCTTGTGAGCCACCCTCACCCGAGGGCAAAATTTGGAAGAGGAAGGGGCCATTCCAATGTAGGATACCTCTTGTGAGCCGCCCGAACTTAGAACTTAGAGACTTAGAGGAGGAAGGTGTAATTCCAATGTAACATACCTTTTGTGAGCCCTGCGGGTAAAATATAGAGGAGGGAGGTGCCATTCCAATGCAACATACCTTTTGTGAGCCCCGAGGGCAAAATATAGAGGAGGGAGGTGCCATTCCAATGTAGCATAGCTTGTGCTTGCCACCGCCGCCGCCGCCGCCGCCGCCGCTGCTGCTGCTGCTGCTACTGCTACCACTGCTGCCACTGCTGCCACTACTGAATATTTTTGATTCGTTATCACGAAAGGTAGCGGTTACGCTTCCTGAGTTTTCCTTTTGCTTTAGCAAACATGTATTATACCCAGAGTGGAGCCCTTCTCACTGAGAAATGGCTCCCGACATATTCGTTTGCTGGCCGGGGGGCGGGGGGGCCCTTTCAACTCCACCCTGGCGCGCCTCGGGGTCAACGGCTCGAAAACACCGTAAATACCAGTGTTTTCAGCTCTTCCAGTCCTCAACAGTGGCCGAAAACCATGCAATTTACAGCGTTTTTTGTGGCTGTCCGGCAAAAAAGCTGTAAAAACCGATTGTTTTTGATGCGTGTCGGTTTGAAAAATGACCGAAAAGTGACCACAAACCAGGAAAGATTTTGTCCGAAAGGGTTTTTGAGGCTTTTGGAGGCTTCAAAATTGCACAAAACTATGGTATTTACACGGTTTTGTGCACCTTCCCGGCAGAAAACGACGGTATTTACACGGTTTTCTTCGCTTTCCCAGCGCACAACCGTGGTGCGCCTCTGGATCGCCGGCTACAAAACACTGTAAATACCGGTGTTTTCAGCCCCTCCTGTCTTCAAGCATGGCCTCAAACCATGCAATTTACAGGGTTTTATGTGGCTGTTCGGCAAAAAACCTCGTAAAAACTGATGTTTTTTGACGTGTCTCGGTTTGAAGCATTGCCGAAAAATGACCAAAAGCCAGGAAAGATTGTGTCGGAAAAGGTTTTTTCGGCTTTCAGAGGCTTCAAAATTGTAAAAAGCCACGGTATTTACACCCTGTAAATATCGATGGTTTTAAGCTATGTAAGCAATGTAAGCTTCAAAGTCCACAAACTAGGCTGATCCAAACACACAAGTTCATTTCTCCCATACAACCTTTCACGTAATATCAATGGTTTTAAGCTAGGTAGGCGGTTTCTCTCCACACGGAGTGCTGCGGTACCTTTCGTTCACCCCCTTCCTCTCTCAAGTATAAGTTCTTTTTTTGTGGTAGCAATACAGCATAGCTTTCCGTACATTGATTAGTCAGTCATTAGTCTATCTATTTTTTGAGACCATCAGGCTGCTTCCGCAAGCATAGTATAGCATAGCCTCACAGCAGTGGTGTGTGGAGCCATTTGTTAGTACAGTATAGATAACTTTTGTCATAAGCAAATTGTTATTTTTTGCAAATGAACATCACTCCCCGTCCATTTGGCACCAGAAACCATTGTCCTAGCTGGAGGAGGGCATTTGGTCCCGCTGGGCGCAGGAGCTGGTGCATATGCTTTTGAAAATGTCAGAACGTCTGTTGAGCATGGCTGCAGACATGCTTCTCGGCGCAGTCTCAGACCCTGAGACGGAGACATGTAAGGGCGGATGCTGAGTCCTTTGTCATGGTGGGGCTGGGGCAGCGCAATCGATCAAGGTGACTTTGCTTGGGCGACGTGATGGAACAACTTGCCCCAAGTGGATTGCAGCAAAGCAGCATTTGATTCTGTCATCCGCTTGGGCGGTGAGGAATTGCCTAGAGACAAAAATCCTTTGTTTTTTCAAGTTTCAAGCGCTTGCAAGAACCTGCCACATTTGTGAGACCAACAGTAAAAGCCATGCCGCACACATGTTCAGATTCATACACATATATAGATGTTGCTCCTAAGACGCTTTCATCCAAAGCCCCTTTGTAGCATCCTGCCCATCACTGAGGACATGCTGGCCTTTTTGCGGCCGCTGGATGAAAACTTGCAAACCAACAAGGCAAACACGTTACTGACGATGTCACGAAAGGTAGCCCCTAAGGGGATACCTAGAGTTTGTCTTGCGAAGCAAGTGTCGGCGCGTCCGGGTCTGTTAATTGATAGTTCAATTCAACCCCCCCCTTGGAATTGATTTCTCAATACAGACCCCCCCCCCCGCCCCCCGGGGAATTGATGTTTCAATACCGACCCCCCCCTCTAAATTCAATTCTCTCCTGGAGAACGTTTTCGTGAGCCTCTCATGATTTCAGGATAGTTGAAACCCTCTTGAATCTTGAACATTCAGAGTGCATATGAAATTCTAATCACGAAAGGTGTTCCCCGAGGGGATGCATACCTAGAGTTTGTTTTGTGAAGCACGTCAATTCTCTCCTGGGGAACGTCTTCGTGAGCCTCTTATGGTTTCAGGATAGTTCACATCCTATGATGCTCCGATTCAATGCTCACCGATGATCTGAGCCATGGGGCAAGAAAAAAAACAAGAACAGGCGGTCCTCAGAGCTCTCATGCATCACCATGTCGAACATTGCATTTTTGTTCCTGCCTCTCGCGTTCTCTTCTCTTCCCGCTGTCCTACCTTTCGTGTCTCCCTCCTCTCAAGTTGCAATTTGCAGAACGGACCACGCAGGCTGGCAACATGATCAGCTTTGAGGTTTGGCAAAAGTGCTACAAGGACAGGATGGCATTAGGCTTGAGTGCGTATGGCACTGAGGTGCTTTGTGATTTGTAATGTGAATCAGGATGCTGGAGTCAGAACTCCTTCATGCTGGGAAGAAGGATTGTTGCAACTTGGCCGGCATACTTATGTGGAGATGCAAGTTGCAGGGCGACTTGTGACACATTTATGCTAGCTGCTAGCTGGGCATCGACCGCGCTAGTAGTCGTGCATTTTTGTCAAACCAGGAACAGTTTGTCCGATGCTGTTGGCACCTGTACAGCTTCACTGCAAGCAAAGGCATTTTGATTCTCTTGAACCAGGGCAACATCTCTCTCGTTTGTTTTCAACACCCTTTTCTTTG